GCCCCGCGCTGGGCCCCAACATGCTGAACCTTCTCCTTTACCAGAACTTTCCTTTGCTCTCAAAGCCAAAGCTAGACTGGATGAATCCAGAAATGTGTCAGAGGCCTGCACTGGACCTCTGGGCTGGCCACGTGGCCAGGGTGGGAGAGGGCAAGGCTGAGAACTGACTGCAGAAGGGCAGGACAGGAAGGGGCAGCCAAGGTGTGTGCGTGTGCATGTGTGTGTGTGTGGGGGGGGGGGGGGAGGTAGGCCCCTTTTATCTTTTTACCTCTCTCAGTGCTTTAAAGCATTCTTTATTGGAGTTATTTATCCATCTGGAAGAACTTCTTCTCTTTCCATGTTTTTTTTTGTTTTTTTTTTTCTTTTGGGGTCACACCTGGCAATGCTCATGGGTTACTCCTGGCTCTGCACTCAGGAATTCCTCCTGTCGTTGTTTGGGGGACCAGATGGGATGTCGGGGATTGAACTCAGGTCAACCACATGCAAGGCAAACACATCAACTGCTGTACTATCTCTCTGGCCCCTCCTCTTTCCATATTTTCCTTCTTGTTTTTCCCTCCATTCTATTCTGCGAGTCTTGACTTTCCCCCCTCTATTTAAAAATTTATTTATTCTTGGTTTGGGGGCCACCCCCAGTGATGCTCAGGGGTTACTCCTGACCCTGCACTCATGAATCACTCCTGGTGGGCTCAGGGGATTTATGGGATGCTGGGGATCGAACCCAGGTTGTCTGTGTGCAAGGCAAGCACCATACCTGCTGTATGATCATCCCAGCCCCTTGGCCCCTCATTTTCTATTTTGCTTCAGTGCCAGTGGTTTCCTCCTGCCTCTTCTCCTGGGATCACAGTTCCTGGGGTGAGGACTCTGATTGTTTTTTTACCTTTGGGGATTTCCTGTGAGGGCTCAAATAATAATTATTGACTAAATAACAGCAACAGCAACAACAACAACAACAACAACAACAACAAAAACCATGAAGGAAAACTGTTTCTCAAGCCCCCATCTTAAATACTTTCTAGCAGAACTCCTCATCTGGGAGGAAGTTTTCTGACTTCTCATCAGTCTGGCTCTCTCCCACTGACATCTGGGATTGAAAGAAACCAGCCCGGGAAACCCCTCCCTTTCGATCTTTTCATGGGTCTGGCCTGGGCACAACTTCCCACGCCTGGACCTAGGCTGTCAGACCCTTGGGTGAGTGGAAGCCCAGGACAGAGAGTCTCAAAACGCCCAAACCAGGGCAGGTTTCAGAAGGGTCTGTCGGTCACACAGATGGACGGCATCATCCCCAGACGGGCGGGGCCCAGATGTGGGCAAGAGCGTCCAAAGGCAAATCACTCACTGCAGAAAAACAAAGTGATTCCCCAAGCTACGCACTCAAACAAGTACAAGCTGGCCGCTGAAGTGAGCCAAATCCTTTTCCACAGTTTGTATCCCCCCCCACCCCCGCCGGAACCCCTCACTCCCCCGCCCGGCAGGTGGGGCTGAGTTGGGCAATCATTTTACTATTTGCCTCCTAAGCAGTGTTGAGGGGAAACTGGGACCCACTCCCAGAAGTACTTGGCCAACCTGGTGTGGCTCAGTTCACAGGCCCTTTAGTACTGGGGACTACCTGGGTCACCCCAGCCATGCTCAGCATCCTCCAGGGCTATGCTCAGTGGTCTCTGTGGGGTCATGTGCTACCAGGGTTCAAACTCAGGTCCTGAGAGTCTGGGGAGATGGTACAGGGGTGCAGGTGCTTGCGTTGCACGTGGCTGATCTGCATTTGATTCCTGGCACCCCTTCTGTCCCCAGATCACTGCCAGGAGTGATCACTGAGCACAGAGCCAGGAGTAAGTCCTTAGCACAGTGGAGTGTGACACAAACTTCCCATACCCCTAACAAACAAACAAACAAAAAACAAAACACTCAGTGAACTCAGGTCCTGATTCTGCAAAGCAGGTGCCAGCCACTGTGCTGTCTCCCGGCCCCTTGCTTGTGTCCTAGTTGTTGTCACCATTTATGGTGTGATGTCCAGGACCCAGACTTGTAGCCCCAGGGATCACAATAGCAGTGCTGGGGATGATACCTGGTGATGTGAGGTGGTTTTGGGGATCCCACTTGTGACCTCACCTGCTCAGCATCCTCCAGGGCTATGCTAGGTGCCCACAGTTCTAGCTTGGTTCTGGCCATCTCTGATTGTTAGTCTAATCGGAAGTCAGTCTCCCTCTCTGCTCCCTAGCATGCCTGGATAGATTCTGGAGTGCAGGATCAGGGATTTCTATATCCCCTGCCTGCCACTGGTGTGTCTATCCTGAAAGAATCAGGTCCTTTGACAAGTTCGAGTCTGCGTTTATACCTCGACCCTGACTCCCTTGGCTGCTACTCATTCACTTCCTTCTGTCTGATGCTTCCCAAAGTCTGTTTCAGGGGTGGGTGGGGGATCCTGAGAGCCTGGCCTCTTGCTCCCCGGTTTAGAAGGGCTTGGTCTCCCTGCCCATATTTCCTGGAGTCACCCTTCTGAGAAAGGCTATAATCTGGGGTGAACCAGGAAGGAGAGGCCCCTTCCTTTGGGCAGTGACTGAAGTTTTAATAAGTTGCTGAAGTTTTTCTGACTATGCACCCTCTGGCTTGCCCACCATTGTTTCTACTTTTTTGTTTTGTTTTGTTTTGTTTTTGGTCTATACCTGGCAGTGCTCAGTGCTCAGGGATTCTTCCTGACTCTGCACTAGAGGATCACGCCTGGTGGGGCTTGGGACCCAATATATAGTGCTGGGATTAAACCTGGATCAGTTGTGAGCAAGGTGGGGTTAGAGAGACAGTACAGTAGATAAGGCGTTTGCTTTGCACACGGCCAACCCAGGTTTGATCCCCAGCACTCCATACAGTCCCCTGAGCATGGTCAGGAGTAATTCCTGAGTGCAGAACCAGGAGTAACCTCTGAGCATGTCTGGGAAAAGCCTCCCAAACAAAACAAAACAGAAAATGTGTGCAAGACAAGTGCCCTGCCCACTGTACTATCTCTCCAGCTCTATCATCGTTTCTAATTTTTTCTATTTGGGGGATCACATCTGGTGGTGCTCAGGGGTTGCTCCTGGCTCTGTGCTTGGGGAACTCTAAGCAGTGCCCAGGGGTCCGGGAGGTGCTAGGGTTTGAACCCGGGGTTCCTGCATGCATGCCCTGCACTGAGCTCCTTTCTTGGGGTCTTTATCTGAACAGGGCTAGGTAGCAGCCAGAGGACCATGTAGTGCCAGAGATCAAACCCAGGGCTTCTGCAGTGTGTATTCCAGTCCTTGGAACCATTTTCCAGACCCTGAAATATTTTTAAAGTCTAACCAGTATTCACTTAAACAAGCACACCAAAACTAAACAGCGGGTAGGGCGTTTGCCTTGCATGCAGCCAACATGGTCGACCCGAGTTCGACTCCTAGCTCCGTACTCAGGGATTACTCCTGGTGAGGCTCAGGGTACCTTATGGGGCGCCAGGGATCAAACCTGGGTCGGTGTTGTAAAAGGCAAGCACCCTATCCATTGTACTATCACTCTGGGCCCCCAAGAAAAAGTCACATGGTGTGAGAATAAGGAGGTTTTATTCACTGGTTGGTCTAGATTAGGCAAAGTACCAGGAACCTTGGGTCAACCTCAGGGGTAAGAACCTATTTTTTTATAGATCATTACTGCAAGCTTGTCATTCTGATTCATGTTCATCACATAGCAAAGGGATACACTTACATCATGGCATCTTATCACCATGGCTACAATGAGTTTCCAAAAATCAGCATTTTTTGGCTAGAACAGGGAAATTCATCACAAATGCATCCAGAGTGGGCTTCTCTAAAATTTTCCATCCATAAGCACAATCATAGAGTACATGTTGTACAACCAATATAAAATCAAAGATACATTACATCAATTTTCATTCTAACAAAAGCCCAAAAACACAAGTTTAAGCAGAAAAAGTGTCCATGGGGGATATCAGTGTCACACAAAGAACCAGAGGAAGAGCTGAGCACTGGAGAGACCAGGATGCGGTGGCATTTCCTGCCTCTCTGCCAGTGGTAGACCCCTTCCTTGATCTTCCTCAAACGCTGGCAGCTAGTCCCTTCCACCACTCCCTGCCTGCATCCTCTCAACATCATTACTAGAGCACAGAACAGCCTCTTGGTAACAGGTGATCAGCTCCAGGGATGGGTTCTGATTGATCTGACTTCACAAGGTGCTCAGCCTGGGCTAATCATGTGTGGTCAGGGTAGAAGAGGGCAACCCCAGTGCAGACCACATGTAGGAAGGGGCTGAGATGGTTCCCGCAAAGGCACTGCTGTTTCCAGAAGAAAGAAGGGGTTGCTGGAAAGAAAGAAGATCATCTCTAAGTGACCCTTCCCCATTCTGGGGAAACTCACTTGTACAGCCCAGTGCACAGCTGACTGCCTTGCCCAACAGAAGGACACCAACTCCTGGCTATAGTTTATGGGTGGGGCGGGTGAGAGGTGGGAAATCTCAGAGCATCTCCGGTTGCCCAGAAAGTCCTTTCCTCAACAATTCCTATTGAATCAATTCCCGCTGATGTTGCGACCCGTCTCTTAGACCTCAGGAAGCCCAAGACCCCATGGCCACAGGATGGTGACAGCACAGTGGGAGGAGGGCAAGTGGCTGGAGTGGGAGATAGAGGGTGCTGGCCCTGGGGAGATGCTGCAGAGAAGTGGCCTTCAAGCTGGACTGGAGGGGTGGGTGGACAAGAAAAGGGAGATCAGAGCACAGCAGAGACACAGGCATCCTCCTTGAGGACCTTCACCTGCTTATTATACAAGTCAAGGCAGTCCCCCCATCTTGCCCTGACTGACTTCAGACTCCTGGACTGACGCCTGATTCCTGACTTGAAGTTTTCTTTCCTGCTGTCTGCAGCCCTCCCCAGGGTCTTTCCAGTTCTCTGTGGCCTCTGGTCTGCCCGCTGGTCTGCCCAGGTCCCGGCCATTGGCCTTGGCCCTTGGCCCGGAGCAACTCCTGACCTGGCTCTTCTGTTGCAGAATCTCGGCGGAGAACCATCTTTGAGTACCACCGCGTGGAACTGGATCCCAGCAAGGTGACCAGCACATCGGCCGTGGAGTTCATCCCATTGCCAAGTAAGCAGGGTGCTTCATACTGATGGGGGAGGCAGTCGGCCGTCCAAGAAATAGCCTGAAGTGAAACAGCTGCCCACCCAACCCGGGGCACCTGTCACCTCAGCTCTTCCTCTCCTCCCTCCCAACAGAGGGGATTGGGGCCCACAGGAAGCACAGTTGAGGACATGTCTCTGGTCTCACACATCCCTGGAATTCAGGACAGAGACACCCTGAGAACTCCCAGACTCAGCCACTCAGAAAAAACAGGCAGAAGGGAGCTGACTGTCCCATTTCCCTGAGAAGGCAGAGAGAAAGTGACCATCTCCCGATTCTGAACCCCACTGCCACAATTGGAGGCACACCAGGGCTGTGTGGAGCCCACAGTCTTGGGGTGCTTTGCAAGGTCTGGGCAGGGTATGGAGGGGGAGAAAGAGAGAGGAGAAAGCAGGCCTGGTGGTAGATTTTCTTTTACTTGGGAGTCAGGAGTTGGGCCACATTAGACTGCGCCTAGGGATCACTCTTGGCTCTGTGTTTGGGGGACCATAAGTGGGGGATCTGATTGGGGTCGATTGTATGCAAGGCAGGCATCTTAACTTCTGGACTATCTCTCCTGGGAATGTATTTCCGAGCACTGTCTGTGTACATAAACCACTTCCCCTCCCTCCAAGGACTTCTGTGAGCATTTAATAGCTTGCATTCTGGCCAGTTTGACATAGCCTTCAGAGTTGCCCAGGCCTTGGGCCCATGTGGGTGCAGCTCATGAGGTGGAGGACAATGTTAACAAGACTGTGAGATTGTTGGATTTGTCCTGAGAAAACTGCCTCGTCTTGCCCAGATGTTCTCACCTACCTATGGATCCAGGCAGGATCCTTCTGTGGGTGAGGCTGGCCAATGTCCAGGATCTCACACTCCAAAGTGGCCAGAAGAGTGAGGGTGGGAGCTGGGGCAAAGACCCTCACAGCAAGACCACAAGGCTTAGAGCTCAGGCCCTGGCTTAGATGGACTGAGATTCAAGTTAGATTTGCCTTTTGGCTCTGTTTCCTGGGACTGTAGGACAAAGAAGAGAATCTACCTGTGAATTCAATAAACACTTAAGGGGCTGGAGCTATAGCACACCGGGTAGGGCTTTTGCCTTGCAATCGAACCCGGGTTCGATTCCCAGATATGGTCACCTGAGCACCGCCAGGAGTAATTCCTGAGTGCACAGCCAGGAGTAACCCCTGTGCATCACCGGGTGTGAATCAAAAAGAAAAAAAAATAATAAACACTTAACTGCTGGTCGAGGTCAGGCTTGTGCTGACAGCCCCAGGAATACCAGGAAACAAAAATTTATAGAGGAGACAGAGTACATGGGGCAGGATGCTTACCTTGCACGTGACCCCGGTTCAAGAACACTCCATTTAGTCTCTGGAGCACCTCCAGGATGGATCCCTGAGCATAGTGAGGAGTAAACTCTGAATACTGCTGGTTACAGCTCCCAAACAAACAAATGAACAAATAAACAAACAAGTCTTAGAGCACTTGCTCGACTTCAAGCTGGTCAGTCCTATCCAGTTTTCTATCTATCTTGCTGGGCAACAAAGGCCTGGTGACAAAGGGACCCCAGACTACCTACAGTCTGTCCTTCCTCTACAGCCCATAAGCTGGCTCGCTGTCACCCAGACATCTCTTCGGCAGAGGGAGAGTTTATGTGACTCCTGCCGTACTACTGACCCCCAGTAGCAGCTCAGGACAGCCAGGGTGATGCAGGAAGAAAAGGGTGGAACCCGTGACCTGGCGGGTCCCTGCAGATGGGAGGCTCTGGGTGATTGATGTAGGAGCAGTGGCCATGGGTCTCTGTGCTTGTCCCTGGGCCTCAGGCTCATCAGGTCTTTCAAGAATGAAAATATTGAATCGTAAAAACGTTCAGACTCAGAGTTGGGAAAGTTTATAAAAGCCTAAGAGAAAGAAACTTTCCATCCTAGGAGGAACTTAGCATAGGACTAAGTCAAAGTAAGGAGTCTTTGTGTAGGTGTTTTTTTTTTAATTTAAAATTTATTTTTATAAAGTTGTTATATTTATTACATTTAATATTCCAGCACCAATCCCACCACCATTATACCTTCCCACCAACAATATTTCGAATTCCCCCCCCAAGCCTACCCCAGTAGCAAAAACAACAAAATAAACACTGTCCTCCCGTTGTTCATCGATTTGCTCAAGAGGCCCAGTAATGTCTCCATTTTTTGAGACTTGTTGTTACTGTGTTTGGCATATTGAATACGTCACAGGTAGCTAGGCTTTGCCCCGTGGGTGAGATACTCTCAGTAACTTGCCAGGCTCTCCGAGAGGGGTGGAGGAAGCGAACCCGGCTCGGCTCACAAGGCAAATGCCCTACCACTGTGCTATAGCTCAAGCCCAAAAGCAAGCCTTAAATAATTTATTTTGTATTGCTTGTTAAGAATAATCTGCTAAAAATGATCAAAATTTCCTTAGAAGAAAGTGTGTGAATATTGTTGTATCTCAGTCTGAAGCCATTAAGCCCTTGTATTAGAGATTTAGTAACATGCTGTTACAGGTTGAATCTTGTGTGCTAATATATTAATATATAATTATGTATAATTAATATATATTTATATGTAATTATAAATATAAATATATTATGTGTATTTTTAATAGAGATCAGATGCCTCCTACTTTATACCCCATCCAATGTGAGGTGCTACTCCTGGTATATCAGTGGTGTAGAATATAAGTTGTTGCGTGGCTGCAGATGCCACACAAATTCTAAAATTTTAAATAGGTTGATACAACTGGAGTTAAGTTTTTAACTGGATGGTGACTTTTGAGTCCCGAGGCATGCCTGCAGCTTGTTGCTCTCTCCCAAGATGTGTTTGTGAGTCTCTGGATCATGGCCATTAATGAGCTTATATGGCACAAGGGGCAGTTCTTGGGCGTGACTGCCAGGCTCCAGGAAGAACAGGGAGATGGGACGAGGTGGCCCATTCCCTACTCCATGCAAGCCTGGAGAGTTTGGTCACAAAACTCGCGTGCGTGAGGTTTTCAGCAGATTCACTCATGGATGAGGTTTGTCTGAGCCTGTGGAGATCATCAGTGAGCATGGTGGCAATTGAGTTCTGGAGTTTTTGAGTTACTGGAGTTCTGTTAGGGCAGGTGAGTCCCCCTACCTGCCCCCCTCTGAGCTGCTCAGGATATGACGTTCAGCTTGGGTGGGGTCCGGATATCTATCTCTATGTAGGTGTTTTTATTTATTTATTTTAATGTAGGTGTTTTTAAATGAAAGATTTGGCTTCTTGTTTTTTCATTTGTTTGTTTGATTTTTATTCCTGGGGGCTCTGTGTCCATATGAAGGGCTGGGGATTGAACAGGCGTCTGTCAGGAGCAGGGCAAGTGCACTCCTTGCTGTATATCACTCTGAGGGTTCCTTGTGTTTCTTATCAAGTGACAAGATTGTTGTTTCAAAGAAGTGGGATTCCTTTTTGTTTTATGAAGCTGAGAAGCGGCTGGTTAATTTGGGCCTTTTGTGCTGCTAAGACTAACATCCTGTGCGTTCAGTGAGATTTTCTAGTTATTTAAGGGCTTTTAGGTTATTTTTCTGACCCTCTGCCCAGGAGTTGTGCATTAATCTCTCACTGCCTGGTGAGCCCAAGGACTGGGGCGGGGGGCCTGTGAACTTCCTGTCTCAGGGGCCTGTATGTTTCCTCAGCGTTCAGGGTCTCATGGAGCTGTTTAAAATGTAAGATGGGGACAATCAAACAGAGCTTCTTGCAGCAGTTGGCAAGGGAAACTGAGGCTTCCTCTTTCACCAGGATCCAGAGGGATCCAGCATTCCTGGGGGTGCCACTATAGGGAGCCTATGCTGCGGCTACTTCATCCCCCCCACTTCTCTCTTGCAGCCTGTTTGCAGCATCGGAGCTGCGACGCCTGCCTGTCCTCCGACCTCACCTTCAACTGCAGCTGGTGCCATGTCCTGCAAAGGTGGGTGCCCCCATGGGACCTGGGGAGGGAAGAGACCAGGGATCCAGGCTGTCTCCTGCCTCGAGTCTTACTGCCAGCCTAAGGGGGTCCGTGGCCAGTACACACTGTCCCCTAGGGCAGGGAAACCATACCAGAGTGCTTCTCCCTGAGATCTGTGCCTATGGTCAAGGTCAGCAGCACTCATTCACCCCAGGGAAGGGCTTCTCAGAAGGGTCCACAGTTGGGGGCATCTCAGAATCCACCTAGACTCACATTCAAAGGTAGATTCTTAGGACCTACTGCAAAGCTCCCCGCACGCAGCCCAGCAACCTGGATGTGAACTCTGAAGTCCATGCCTCATCTGCAGCCATTCGGGCATATGCTGGCTCATCTCATGGAGGGGGGAGGCACCCCAGAGCCCCCAGACACCACCTTGAAATCTTTCTCAGGATGCAGCAAGGTTTTCTAAAAGCCAGGGGTGTGGGAATTGCAAGCATCTGTGAAAAGTTGGGGGCAGGCTATGAAGTCACGTTTGCTTGGTCTGGGAAACAAAATTCTGGATGAGATTCAAGTTCAGGGATAAAGTTCCTAACTACAGCTCATCTTCCACTCCTTGTTCTGAAATCATTTCCTCACAGATTAAACTTAGAATTACAGCCCTGTTCTCCTGTCCAAGATAAATAAATGGCAGGAGAAAGCAAAATTTGAAAAAAAAAATCCCCCCTGTGGGACATTGGGCTCTCCTGAGAGTGGGAAGACCCATGAATATGAACTTGAAGTTGATCTTGAAAATGTGAGTCCCAGAGTGTCTGTGTATCGTGGGCGCTGTCAGCTTTCCTCTGCTCTGTCCCAATTCCTGCAGCAGGAATAGGAGTGTTGCCAAGGCCTGACTCACGGCATGGGTGGTTCTTTGAGAGTCTGGAGTGAGGATTCTTAGACATTTTCCACTCAGGGATCCATACACAGTGCCAGGGATTGAAGCGGGGTTGGCTGCATGCAAGGCAAGAACCCTCCCTGCTATGCTATACCATCTCTCTATCCTTCATGATTTCTTTTCTTTCTTTCTTTTTTATTTTTTTTCCATTTTGGGGCCACACTGGTAGTGCTAAGGGTTTGTTCCTGGTGGGGTTCAGGGGACCATATATGATGCTAGGGATCAAACCTGGGTTGTCATATGTGAGTCTCTTATCCACTACTCTATCACTCTGGGCCCTCATGATCCTTTTTCACTCAGAAAATGCAACATGAGTGAGCACTACCAGAAGCCTCTCAGGTTCATGACCCAGTTAGTTGATTTTGCATTAGTTTCTTGGTTGGGCCTTATTCAGAAAGCACTTGCACAGTAAACGTAATGTTAATCCTCCCCTAGAATATCTCTACCCAACCTAGCCAAAACCTATAAATTAGCTGAAACTAAACAATCACCCAACACTTAACTTTCACTCAAAACTTTAAACATTGCCAAAAGTATACCATAAATCTCTCGTTTTTTGTTTTTGGCTTTTTGGGTCACACTCCACAATGGTCAGGTGTTTCTGCTGGCTCTGCACTTAGGAATTACTCCTGGTAATACTCAGGGGACCATATGGGATATGAGGGATCGAACCCAGGTCAGCCTCATGCAAGTCAGACATCTACCCATTGAACTATCGCTCAGGCCCAAGGTATACCATAATTCTCATACTATCCCAAGCCCAAACCTTATCCACCACAACCCTAATATTATACCAATCTAAACCCTACACTATGCTAAAGCTTAACAACTAGATTAAATTTAACAATCGTCCTCGAATTAACTTTCATGTTCAACCTTGAAAATTGCTCATTCTTATCCATAATCCTCATTTAACCTTAACCTAACCTTAGACTATCTTTATACAAGCTAAGCTAAAACCTGCCAATTAGCCTAAATTGAATAATCCCCCTACACCAAACTTCCACTGTCAACTTTATACATAGCCAAATGTATACCCTAACTATCACATGAACCCCAATCCCAATGCTAACCCCGACCCTCACTGTATACTAACCATAGCATACCGTAGCATAGGCTAAAACTTAACAATTAGCCTAAATTGAACAATTGTTCTACTATTAACCTTAATTTTCTTTTTTTTGGAGGCATCACACCAAAATGATGATGCACAGGGGTTACTCCTGGCTCTGCACTCAGGAATTACTTTTGGTGGTGCTTGGGGGGCCAAAAATGCTCTACCTGCTGTACTAACTTTAATTTTCAACTTTGAAAACTGCTAAACCTGTACCTTAATGCTCCTCTAACCCTAAACCTAGATGCACCTTAGTCAAGCTAGGCTGAAACCTACCAATTAGCCAAACCGAACAATTGGCCCACACTTAATTTTCACTCTCAAGTTAAAACATTGCCAAAAGTTTACCCTACCTCTCATATGAACCTAACAGTAACCACAACCCAAACCCTACCACTATATCAACCTTTCCCTAACCTAGGCTAAACTTAACAATTAGGTTAAATTACAATACCCTAGAATTAAATTTTATTTTCAACTTTAAAAATAGCCAAACCTGATCCGTAATCCTCACCCAACCCTAATCCTGATCCTCCTGTTAATTTTAACCCTACCCCTAACTTGAACCAGCCTAAGCATATCAATTACCTTAAATTGAACAATCAGCCCATACATTTTTTTTTCCAGGCCATACCTGGCAGTGCTCAGGGTTGACTCTTGGATCTGCATTCAGGAATCACTCCATGTGGGCTTGGGAGGCCGGCTGGGACGCAAGGGATTGAACTCGGCTCAGATGTGTGTCAAACTGCACCTTACCTGCTGTACTATCACTCCGTTCCTCATTCCTAACTTTCACTCTGAACTTTATACATAGCAAATGTATAACCTAACTCTCACACAAACCCTAACCCTAACCCACTGCCCAACCCTAACCCTATACAACTTTCCTCTAGCCAAAGCCTGAATTTAACAATTAACCTAAATCAAACAATATCCCAACAAGATCCCAAGTATGAACTTTTATTTTGAACTTTGGAAACTGCCAAACCTAAACTGTTATCCAACTTCATCGCTAACCTTAACCTTAACCCTCATCCTAATCCCAACCCTATCCTGAGAACTAATCTTTTTTTTTTTGACTTTTTGGGTCACACCTAGTGATGCTCAGGGGTCACTCCTGGCTCTACACTCAGGAATTACTCCTGGCAGTGCTCAGGGGACGATATGGAGTGCTGGGGATCAAACCCAAGTTGGTCGCATGCAAGGCAAATGTCCTCTCCACTTGTGCTATCGCTCTGGTCCTCCAGAGACTAACTTTACAGGCCTAAACCTCCCAAGAGTCGAAATTGAAAATTCACTTGAGGAGTCGAAGTGGAAGTCCAGTGGGTAGGGCACTTGCCTTGCATGCAGCCACCCTGGCTCGATCCCCAGCAACCCATATGGTCCTTGAGCACTTCCAGGAATGATCTCTCAGTGCCTCCTGTGTCTTCTTCTCAGCACCTCTCTCAGGGCCTCAGTTTTTTTTCCCGATGCAATGGGCTGAACTCTGTATTCAGTGTGAGGACCCACCATTAGTTGAACTCCAAATTGAGCTGAGCCACGGTTTCGCAAAGCTTTAGGGCCAGCAAGGCCTATGGAGCGCCAGACTGAGAGCGTTGAGAGCCACTGTCATCAGAGAGAGATGTTCCAGAGGTGTTTGGAGGAGCCCTGGAATCCTGGGGTCGCTGGCTGCCAGCGCCTGACTCAGCATGCAGGGCGAGTGGAGCCCTGGGAACTGCAAAGCGGGCAGATGAGAGCTTTGCAGTTGCGCGGGCAGATGAGAGCTTGCACAGACACCGCCCCCCCCCCCCATACACACACCCCTGAATGCAGATGCCAAAGCCAGGGAGCATGGTGGTTTATTGAGGCCTGGTGGGGCTGGAGAGGGCGGGTGTGACCATGGTGGTTTACTGAGGGAGGGGGTGTGGACACTGCCTTTGCTGTTGTTAGGCCGACCGCAGAGTGGAGAAGCTTTGTTTCAGGGCAGGCCATGCTGACGCAGTGCTGGGAACCTCCCGTCCCCACATGCCCAGGGGCCTGGCCTCACCCCGTGGTGGGCTCCTCCTTGCCAGCCTCCAGAGCCGCTGCTCTGACTTGAGAGCTGAGTTCAGGGCCAAGGGAGTGGACGCGGCCGCTGTGGGTTCCCCCGCCAACAGCTGCTTCCAATCACCATGTGGGTTCTCTGTGTGCCCCCCCCCGCGTCCTCCCCACCCATTCTGCTGTCCCCTCGGCAGCTTCGCAGAGCATCTCCTTCCTGACTTGGGGTGAGACCTGTTGGAGACCTTCCCTTACCGTGGCAGCTGCTGGCCTTCAGCCCACCGTGCCTGCAAAGAGTGCCCCTGGTATGGGGACGTAGTTCAGGAAAGGAGGTTCACATGGGCCTTGCCTTACAGTGTGAGGTGCAGACTGGGGTACGCTCAAGAGGTCTCAGGAAACGCTGTTTCTCGTGCCCTCCTCCCATCTGGTTCAATGTTCAGAGTATGAGGCGCTTAGACCTACATTGAAGATTCAGTTCCTCAGAATAGTTAGTTTGGTCAAAAAGCAGATTTGGTTCACAGCCCTCCAAAGCCCCCTTTTCCCTTTATCTCCTGCACATGGGTACAGAGAACCCCAGGATAGCAGGGTGGGTATGGGCACGGGTCAGGGGAAGCAGCTCAGAGGCCTCACTAGTGTTCCACGTCCTTGGATGGCCACGTCAAGACTTGGGTCCACAGAGAGAAGGGAAACGTGCCACTGAGAACATTCTCTGCCTCAGGCTTCGCCCCCGTCCTTCCCGAGGGACGGGCCTGGTGCCTTCCGGCCAGCTGGAGGCCAGCTTTTCCTCTCTCCCAGTCTCTGGAAAGACTGTTCCTTAGATCACAAGTGTGTGTGTGTATGTCGATTAGCTCCTAGCCAGGGCTCAGGGGTCTCGAGTGACTGAGGCTGGATCCTTAGTGCTGGCCCTGCTGGGTTGAGCCCCTGCACACAGACATCTGGACAGATGCAGCCTAGGTCAGGCTGGGGGCTCGTTCAGGAGGAATGCGGGGAGACCTGAGCCCAGCGCCAGGGACTATATGGGGGGAGTGCCACAATCAAAACTGATTCATCTTTTTAAAATAGGGAATTCTGGGGCTGGAGCAATAGCACAGCAGGTAGGGCGTTTGCCTTGCACGCGGCAACCCGGATTCGATTCCCAGCATCCCATATGGTCCCCTGAGCACCGCCAGGGGTGATTCCTGAGCACAGAGCCAGGAGAGTAACCCCTGTGCATTGCCGGGTGCGACCCAAAAAGAAAAAATAAATAAATAAATAAATAAATAAATAAATAAAATAGGGAATTCTGGGGCTGAAGTGATAGCACAGCAGAAGGGCATTTGCCTTACACGCGGCCAACCCAGGTTCAATTCCCAGCATCCCATACGGTCCCCTGAGCACCGCCAGGAGTAATTCCAGAGTGCAGAGCCAGGAGTAACCCCAAAAAGCAAAAATAAATAAATAAAATTAATATAATTGGGGATTCTTACATCCTTTACACAGCTTCAGTGCTCATGTGTATTCTACAAAAGAGACTGTTTTCAAAGTTAATGATTGTAGACTAGGTATTTTTGTTAGATGGTTTTTATTAAAAAAAAAAAGTTTGAGTCAGAGTAATAGTATAGCGGATAGGGTGCTTGCTTGCCTTACACATGGCTGGCCAACACCTCATATGGTCCCCTGAGACCACCAGAAGTGATCCCTGAGCCCTGCTGGGCATGACAAAATTAATCAAAAGTTACATAATGAAATCTAAAACCAAGCAAAGTTCAGGGATGCTAGTTCTATCCTGGGTGAGCTGTTCCTCCTCAGGGACTGGGTTCCCTTTTCTGTGCACCCATCACACCTCTGACCTTTGACCCTGCAGGTGCTCCAGTGGCTTTGACCGCTACCGCCAGGAGTGGCTGGCCTACAGCTGTGCGCAGGAGGTAAGTAGTTGGTGGCTCTTCTGCAGGCCTCTGGCTCTCTCACCTGACACTTCCCTCTCCTGCTGTTTGAGTCTGCTGAACCAGCTGTGAGAGGCTTGGAAGGGTCCTGGGTGGTCCACAAGACAGGCCCCTTTCTTGACCATGAGTGGCAGTTCCCTGGGAACTCTGGGCCCTGGCAGGTGGCATGTTTGGGTGGCTTGGGCCACAGTGGAGTGCTCTGGGATGCTGCAGGCGGAAATCATTCTGAGGGGGGTTTAGAATCCCACAGAGGGATGAGGCACACTTGCCTTGTCTGTGGGGATTTGATTCCCAGCAATGCAAAAATCAAAATCAAAATCAACACCATCAAAAACAAAAATAAATACAAAAATCAACCAGAACCCCTTACACTCCAAAAAATTCACTGTTGGAATTTTCCAGAACATTTGGCACTTTGACTCTGAGAGCATCTCCCTTCTACCTTCTGCCTCCTCTCCCCCGTACACGCACGTGCGCAAACACACACCCCCCCCACACCTCACACACCACACACACACACACACACACACACACACACACACACCCTTCAGACACACACCCCTCACACCAGCACAGGCAGAGCCCTTCAAGGGAAGGAAGCTTCCCTGCCCCTGGACCTCTCTCATCACCCTCTGCAGAGTCAGCATTTCACTGCAGCTTGCCCATGGCTCTGATTTAACCCCAGTCAGACCCTGCAAGTGGGTGAGACGTGAGTGTTCAGAGAGAATTAACAACCTCTCACTAACCTGAGTCTCCCAGACCCTACAGCCATCCACCCATTTCTGGGGGCTCTTTCTGGACTGAAAAAAAAAAGCCTCCTGAGCCCACTTCTGACTCTGACAAACAAACATTTGCATTTACCCTTAAAGCCGTTGGCAGTTAAATTGCACTGGAGCAATTGTCCTTTTGGGATGGTGTGGGAGGCTCAAATGCATGGAGGGGGCTGGAGCAATAGCACAGCGGGTAGGGCGTTTGCCTTGCATGCGGCCCACCTGGGTTCGATTCCCAGCATCCCATATGGTCCTCCGAGCACCGCCAGGAGTAATTCCTGAGTACAGTACCCGGAGTAACCCCTGAGTATCACCAGTTGTGACCCAAAAAGCAAAAAAAAAAAAAACGTAATGCATGGAGGCCCCACTGTGGTGAGATGGCCACACTGGGGCCACGCCCGGGCATGTAGGTGCCATGTAGGTGCCTCCATCTTTCCATTTGAGTGCCTTTGCTTGGCCAGAAGGGCCGCATGCAGCCAGGACCGGGTCTCTTGCAGGCTGAGGGCAAGACGTGTGAGGACTTCCAGGACGAGGACCATTACTCGTCCTCCCCAGACAGCTCCCTTAGTCCCTCGGACAGAGACCTAAGCACCACCTCCTCCTCTCTCTCCGTGGACAGCCTCACCACTGAAGGTAAGGAGGCGAGGAACTGTGCAACAAACGTGCTGGACCCATATTGTTCCTGCTGGGAGTCCCTGCAGGCGAGGACAAACTGCCCACAGCCGAAGGCAGGGCACCCTAAGCTCTGGGCTCTGCTAGTGAAAACTGAGCCATGATCAGAAGGAAGACTCTGCCCCTCCTGTGCTGAGACCAATAGATCACCCTTCTTCTGGCTTGCTTTGGTCTCTGGCTTATGAGTCATGCTGGGTGGTGCTCAGAGTTTGTTCCCAAGGGTGCTCAGGGGTCATGAATTTCTGGGGATCCAACTGGGGCTTCCCATATGCAAAGACTGGGGGTTCATCCAAAAAGCAGTCCTCTTTGGGTCCGTGAGGTCTGTTCTGGAGTGGACTGCCACTGGGCCACAGCCTGAGTGGTGAGAGTCAGAGAAGGAAGGACGGAAGGAGGAAGGCAGGGATTCGCACTAGGCCCTTTCACCCACCGAAGACAGGTGAAGATTTGAGCTCCGATGTACATTCAAAGGATCAGATGAGAAACGAGTTGAAGGGCTGGAGAGAGTCCAGGGGTTAAGGTCCTGGCCTTGTATGGGACTTTGTTTCACTCCGGCACTAGATATGGTCCCCCTCACCCAGCACCATCGGTTTGCCCTGCCATGGGCCCCAAGCAGTGCCGTATCCTCAGGCCCCATTGGGTGAGAACCGCTAATAGGGGTCTTTGAATACTGCTTTGGCCCCACGCCCAAAACCAACCACAGCAATAACAACAAAAACCAAGCAGATTCAAATCAGGTTATTTTGCTCAATGGTCTTTGGAGTTATTTTGGTCATTCTGGATGAAGCAGTTTGTTATTTTTCACCTGCAGGAACAAAAAGAGATTTAGGGTTATATTTGAATTCTTTATTTAATGAAAATCTTAAAGAAAGCATATATAAATAAACAACTCTGTTCTGTTTTTCTTTCTGTTTTGTTTTGTTTTTGAGCCACACCCAGCTATGCTCAGGGGTTACTCCTGACTCTGCACTCAGGAATTACTCCTGACGGTGCTCTGGGGACCATATGGATGCTGGGGATCAAACCTGGGTAGTCCTCATGCAAGGCAAAAGCCCTCCCCACTGTACTATCGCTCTGACCCCTGCTTTTAATTTTTAATTGGCTTTTATGCTTTATTTTATAATTTATAGTAATTTTGTGTTAAATATATATTAAAACTACTATTATTATCATTACTATTTTGGTTTTGGGATCACACCCAATGGGGCTCAGTGATTACTCCTGGCTCTGCATTCAGGAGTCACCCCTGACATGTCTAGGGTAACCAATGGGAGACAAGGGATCAAACCCGGGTCAGCTGCATGCAAGGCGAGTGCCCTACCTGCTGTGCTATCTCTCTGGCCTGATTTTTTATTATTTTTTAAGACACCATGATTTGCAAAGGGGCTGGAGCGATAGCACAGCGGGTAGGGCGTTCGCCTTACACCCGGCCAACATGGCCGACCCGAGTTCGATTCCTCCGCCCCTCTCGGGGAGCCCGGCAAGCTACCGAGAGTATTGGATATGCCAGACACAGTAACAACAAAGTCTCCAATGGAGACGTTACTGGGCCCGCTCGAGCAAATCGACGATCAACGGGAGGGCCTTTACCTTTACCTTTACCTTATGATTTGCAAAGTTATTCATAGTTGAGTTTCAGGCATTTTATGTCCCGGCACCAGTTCCACCACCCATGTCAACTTTCCTTCCCCAGTGTTTCCAGCCTTCCTCTTACCCAACTCTCAGAATTTTTTGAGGGTGGAGGGTTCAGGGATCAAACTCAGGGCCTCTCACATGCAAGGAAAGTGCTGTACTATGGAGTTACATTTCCAGCTCCAAAAATCAGAATGACAGGCTCACTCTCGGCTTCACTTGTCTGGGCGTGGCCCCAGGGCCTCTCAGGTACAGGCCTCCATGACAAGGGAAGTGTGTGTGGGGGGGAGACCCCGCAGGAGGAACAGAGGTTGGAGAGAGCCCCAAGGGCTTAATAGCCCGGGGCAGCTTTTCAAGGCGTCTGCCATGATCTAGATAGTGACAGGAGGAAAGAAAAGAGAAATTGTTGGGGCTCTTGTACACCTGTGAACGAAAGGGAGGCAGTCAAAGGCTTTAAATGAGGGGCTGGGCACGCATATGCTGACTGAGCCCATGTGCTGCTTGTGCCCACGTGGCGGAGCACATGTGGTGCCCGAGCACATGTGTCGCCTGCATCGCCCCTCTTGAGATGTGTACTTTCATGTTTTTGTGTCTCATGTTAGGATGTGTGTAAGGGCTCTCTCCATTCTTGGTGAGCCTGCATTCTCTCTTGAGCGCGATACACTCTTTCATTCTCTCCACTCACTCCCACTACCTCGCTCTTCTCCCCTTCGATACCTCCAAATAAAATCTGTTCTACTTAAAAACAAAACAAAACAAAACAAAACAAAACAAAACAAAAAAGAGGGGCTGAAGCTGTGTATAGAGAGGGTGTTTGCTTTGCATGCAGTCAACCTGGGGATCTCCTGACATCCCAGAGGGTATTCTGAGCACTAGCAGGAGTGATTCTTGAGTGATTCTTGAGCCAGGAGTAAGCCTTGAGCATCACCAGCTATGGCCCCAAACCCATAAAAAAGGAATTTAAAAATGAGTATGGAATGGGGAGGTGATGGTGGGGCGGGTAGGAGGGCAGATCGCAGGCTGGACAGTGGAGTGGTTCTGTGTGCTTCAAACTTGGCGCTCAGCCCTGATTATCTGGAACGTTCTCCTAATGTGGGGACTCTTGTTTTCCTTTCCTGACTGACTCATCAGAGAGGAGGAAGTCCAGGAAACTTCAACCATCGGTACAGATTTAGGAAGCTAGAAGACGTGGGCTTCACACCCTGAGGAGCAGAGAAAGTGTTGGTCCACCCTGAGGAGCAGAGAAAGTGTTGGTCGTGGGGCTATCCTCTCACTGTTCCCTAGGGGGTGCCTCTGAGCAAACAGATCCTGGGACCCCCCCCTCCACCCCCCACTTTGCCCCCAACTCCAGTCTCCTCAGCTTTTTGTTGCCCTCTGAAGCAGGGAAAGACACTTCCCCATGGTCTCCAGTCTTATCTCTCATCAGAGTTCTCTCATACCCTCTCTACCTCCGACCACACAAAACGTTTCCTGTCCCACACAACCAGCCCCTCAGGTCCTTTCCTGACTGGGACCCCGTTTCCTACCCATACCAGATCTCAGCCCTTCTTCACTCCCTGTGTCTTGGCGAGGCCCCAGTCAAAGCTTTATTAGATTCAATTGTGATTGCTTCTCCACGTCAACTCTCTCCCCCGCCAAGTCAACAATTGTGCAATGACTGAACACAAGCCCGGAAAGAGTTGGTTTATGGGCCCATTGCTGTGTGACCTGAAGCCACGCACCTCCCCTCTCTGTGCTTTAGTTTCCTTACCTGAGGCAAAAGGAGAGGAGCAGGGACGTGGCTTGGTGGCCCAGCACCTTTCTTGCATGCCTGAGACCTTTGTCTGATCCCTGGCACTACACGAGATAAGTCAAGTGATGGGTTAGACAGAACCTCCTAACTCCCCAGTAAGACCTAAAATGACAAGTGATAATGATTCTGTTCCCAGTAACTGGTTAGTTCCTGAACGGGTTTCTGGATTTTGCATGTAAAATTAACCTACAAAATAGTTTCTGACATTATAGTTATTTAACAGTGAGTTTTTCAGGGTTTATTTATTTGGCTTTTGGGGTCATACCTGGCAATGCACAGGGGTCACTCATGGCTCTACACTCAGGAATTACTCCTGCTGTTTGGGGGACCATATGGGATGCTGGGATTCGAACCTGGGTTGGCCACATGCAGAGCAAACTCCCTACCTGCTGTGCTATCACTCCAGCTCCTATTTAACAGTGTTAAGTTAGTTTTAGATTCTCAAGTATTCTGTGTCCTGTTGGTTCCTTGCTGGGTCCCATGTACACAGTTCTTGGTCTGAGCTGGCCTCTCACTGGTTCTGTTGCTCACAGTCCCCTGCTGTTATCCAGCTATGGCCAGTGCTTTCTAGTCTGTCTGTGGGGCTCCACTCCCCATCTCTCAAGGCCTGTATCCCCACAGTGTATTGTCCCTTTGACTTTCCTTGGTTCTCTGGCCCTGGGCACAGTGAGAACTGTCACTTTCTGCCATCTGCCAGACACAGGTGAGGGGTCTCAGTGTGCTGCCATCTGCCCGGGGCAAGTGTAGGGCCAAAAGGAGTTACCAGACCTGTGTCCCCTTTTTATTTATTTATATTAATTTATATATAATTTATTTGGCTTTGGGGCCACACCTGGCAATGCTCAAGGATTACTCCTGGCTCCGCATTCAGGAATCACTCCTGGAAATGCTCAGGGAACCATATGGGATGCCAGGGATTGGACCTGAGTTGGCTGTGTGCAAGCAAGCGCCCTCCCCTCTGGACTATGGCTCCCACCCCTGCGACTCCCTTTTAAATCTTATTTTTTCCTCTATTCCCACCCCCTTTCTTTTTTCTTTTTGAGTCACACCTGGCGATGCACAGGGGTTACTCCTGGCTTTGCACTCAGGAATTACTCCTGGCGGTGCTTGGGGGACCATATGGGATGCAGAGAATTGAACCTGGGATTCTCACCCCTTCTGTTGTCAGTTTATTATTAATTTATCCACTATCGATGATCTCTTGGCCATTTCCATTATCTGACTATCCCTATTGTTGTTGAGATACTAGTTTTGATTATATATTTTGGGCCACACCAGACCGTGCTCAGGAATTAGTTTTGACTCTATGCTCAGGGCTCAGTCCTGCTGGTCTGAGCCAATGTGGTGCTAGTGTCAAACACAGGTCAGCCTCATGCAAAACAAGACCCTACCACTCTCTCTGGATTACCCAGTGTCCCTGTCCTTGGTGCCAGGAGAACAGTTACGCTCATTGTGTGCTTCTCTCTTCTTTTGCAGATGACACCAAGTTGAATCCCTACGCAGGGGGAGATGGTGAGTCTGTACCACACACACACACACACACACACACACACACACACACACACACAGATGCCTGGTTTCTTGGCTTTGGTTTCCAGTGGGATGAGGGGTTGGGGAGAAACATCAGTATCAGCTTCCTAGACCCTGTGCTGTGCAGAGGTGGTCTCTAGGTCCCAACCCCCCACACAACGTTGAACATTGAGACATGATACATTTAGACATCTCACCTTAGCCAGGAACCTCCCCAAGTTCTTTCCCAGTTTCTCTGCTCTTGGATTCATAGCAGAGAGGAGGTGCGGGAGGAGGGCAGATATGTGCCAGCCTGCAGAACAGAGCAGGGGCCTGTGGCCACGGGCTCTCGTTTCCTCCAAGCTTAAGCCAGGGGCCGGTGAGGGGTAAGGGTGGGGTGCTCCCTTCACATCGATTCATGTTTGCATGGTTTGAAGAAGCAAAAGAGCCTGAACTGTGCCCACAATGCCAGCCCCACCGCCACCCCCAGCCATGCCCACCTCCCCTTTTGTGATAACAAAAGCTCCCTGTCACTCTCCTCTTTGGAATGTTGCCAGACCCTGGGACCCCAGACCTCACCTTCCCTGTTCCCATCCTGGCACTAATGGTTTCGCTACAGGCCTCCAGAACAACCTGGCCCCCAAAACTGAGGGTGCCCCTGTGCACCTGGGCATCATCGTGGGCATCCTGCTGGCAGTGCTGCTCGTTGCAGCCCTCATCCTGGTGGGGATCTACATCAACAGCCACCCCACCTCCAATGCTGCGCTCTTCTTCATCGAGGTCAGTGGCAATTCCAGGCCCAGTGGTCAATCCTCCACCCTCTGCTTCTGTACCCAGTTTCCTGGCCAGTCGGTGCTTCTCATTCCCTGTTCCCCCGTTCTCCCTGTAGGCACGTCTTGTCCCAGCTGCTCCCCATTTAATCCCTCCCTCCCACGACTCTACCCCTCACACCTTGCCAGCCTCTCTGGCTCTTTGTGCATGAACCGCTTGCTTCAGCCCCGACCCTGCCATTTACAAAGTGGGAGGAGTCCACAGAGAGAAGGAAGAGGGAACAGTGCGGCACCTTTCAACGGCTGTGTACCAGATCCCTGTGATTTGGACTTTTTCACCCAAAATCTGGGCCCTGTGCATAATCTATGCCACAGGGGACCTGGTTTCCACTGAGGCTGCTGCTGGGAGCTATAGATTGAAATCGACAAACCTTGCTAAGAGGACTTGCTCCCTCTGAGGCCTTTTCAACTCTCCTGCTGATCCACACAGAATTGGACTGCCTGGAGAATGATCTTGACCTTTCTAGAATCTTCCAGATCATTCTGTCTCTTCCCCACTCCCTCACACTCTGTGTCAGGGCTCCTCTCGAGCCACTGCTGGCCTCGTGACCCCCATTTCGCTCCCACCAGGCTTCCTTCCCGTCGTGAGGGCTCACAGTGGGAACCTTCTCTGAGGGGACATCTCTGGAGACCTAGCACCCTTGTCAAAGGGCCATGGTGCTCAGCATTGTTCCTTGGGAAGGGGAGTCACTGGAGGGCATGCCCCGACTCTGTTTCTGTGTCCCCCACAGCGGAGACCCCACCACTGGCCGGCCATGAAGTTCCGCAACCACCCCAACCTCTCCACCTACACGGAGGTTGAGCCCGTGGGCCACGAGAAGGAGGGGTTCGTGGAGGCCGAGCAGTGCTGAGTGTTGGGACTTCCAAAAGTGGAAGGAAGGAAGACCCTGGACCTCCCCCTCTCCCCAAAAAGAGATAAGTCAATGCGTAGTAGCCCCCTGAATAGACCTGGCTGGAGAGACGCTGTGTGGAGCCAGAGCTGCAGCGGTACCTGACCTGGGTTAGGAAGAGCAATTCAGTTTTAGGTTTGAAGGTCCAGGCGCCCCCCTTCAGGGTCTCTCACAAGCGAGTCTGTGACTGCCCAATGCCTCCTCCTGCCCAGTGCTCTCTGGATCCTGAAAAACCCCAAGCCTGTGACCCTTGAGAATGGACGACCAGCTTGGGGCTGCTGCTTTCCAAGCTCCATACTCCCCAGAAGTGTTCTCACAGACCGTGATGGGTGTGTTCACCACAGCTGCTGGAGAAGAACCCCTATGTGCTGACAGCATGTCCTGGAGCAAGAGAGAAGGACCCAGGAACTGCATCTCTTGGCGTGACCCCTCAGCATGGCTCCTGCTGAGAACCAGAACTAGTGCATCAACCAACTGCACAAGTAGGCACTTCCCGGCTTCCTGGAGAGCTGGGCAGCACACAACCCATCCTGTTGTACAAACAACCCAGTGTACAGCCCATCTTGGGGTACAACCCACGTAGTGTACAGACCATCCTGGTGTATAATGCACCTGATGCACAGATTGTCCTGGTGTACAACCCACATGGTGTACAGCCTGTCCTGCTGTACAGCCTGTCCCATTGTACAGATCATCCTGGGTTACAGCCTGTCCTGGTGGACAGCCCATCCTGGTGGACACCCCTGGCACCTGCAAGTTTCTTCATTCTCAGTCCCATTTTCTCACTGGTCTCACCTGCTGCCAGGGCCCACCAGGACCTCTAAGGTCTATGTCCCCTTCTGAGCTGTGTCTGGAGAGCCTCACTCACAAGACAGGGTGGCCAGAGCCCATCTCTCAGCATTTTCAGCAGGACTGGTGGGCAAGAGGGCAGGAGCAGAAAGGAGGGGCATCCTGTGGAAACCTTAGCCTGGCTCCGGGCTTCTGTCTCCCCGGCTTCAGTCTCCTGGCTTCCTCCTCCCCCACCTTCCCAGAAGTTTGGGAGACAAATCAGGTTTAGCTCCTGATCTTAGCCTGGCTTTAAAGGAAGCCTGCACCACAGAGACCCACAGAGTGGAGGCTGCATCTGAGGATGATCTAAAATGAAAACTTCCTGTAACTCCCACGCCTTCAAAGACATAGCAGCAGCAAATAAATGTCGGGTCCAGCTCCGCTTCGTCCTGTTCCGGCAGCAGCAGAAGGTCGAGTAATTGTTTTGCAGCATCAGGAATGGAACCTGCGCTGGGCACGGTCTGTACCAAGAGCTGCTTCCCTGGGCCCAGAAGTTAGTTCTTGGCCCCTAAGTGCAGGGAGGGCAGCTGCAGAGTCAGGACCCATCCCCATACTGGAGCTGCATTCTCCAGCCACTTAGCGCTTTTCCTTGGTAAGGAGATCCTGACCACCAGAGCCGGCCATAAGCTGGACCTGCAGAGGCCTCCTGAGTCAGGCGAGGAAGATCTGTGGGGAGGGTCAGAATTTGAAAATGTAGCTGAGCAGCTGGGAGCATTCACGTTTCCGGAGGCCGGAAGGGTGGTTCGGCTATTTGCCCTGTTCGCCAGAGAGCGGCAGTGGCGCGGCCTCCCCGGGCCCAGCTGGCCTGCCCGCAGGACAGGGCTTTTGTGTTCTTGCCAGATCAGCAGAGCAGCACTGACCTTGTGTCGCAGATGGCCAGTGGGTCTGTTCGTCTGGAAGCCAGCCCCCCTTGTCCCTCTGAACTCCAATATGCTTCTTCCCTCGGGGAGCGCTGCCCCCAGGCCCCTTTCTGGATTCCTGAAGGATGTACCCAGGCAGTGAATTCTGTAGGGAAAGGAAAGTTTGGGAGGGCCTTGGCCAGCTGGGTTCACTGGTGCTGAGGGCAGGGGGTGGCCTGCTGCATTTACAGTGGAATGAATATGGGGTGTCTCTAAGAAAGGGCCCCTGGACAGTGAGAGTGTCTGGATTTCTCGGATCCACACACTCCTGCAACTCTCCCAGGCCCATCACCTTGCTGAACCACTGCAGGGCTCTTCTGCACAGTTGTCACCTCATCTCTGGAGAGAAGCACCACTTACTGCTTTAGAGCAGGCTTGAGAACTGGAAGGAGATGGGGCTGGCTGCATTGTGCTCCATCAGCCACCTTGAGTGTGTGCCCCCCACTTCCACCCGTAGTCCCTAGCCCCTCCAGGCATGCATAGTCTGCTAGGAAAGCAGTTAGGATGCTCTGGGGGTGAAGGGGAGGCCTTTGGACCAGCCACAGTGACCCCACTGCGGGATAGGTAGGGACGATGCAGACGAGCACATGCCTGGGTCAGTTTCAGTCTGTCTGCATTGTGCCCGAGTCTCAGCAAGACCAGTTCGTACCGCAGCTCTGATGAGGAGCTATGAGAAAAGTAGGACAGCAGAGGCAGAGTGCGTGGAGGTCCTTGGGTCAGGCTGGGAGCAGTTTCCTCCTCCTTCCATTGGCAGCTCTGATCGTTGGCCTGCTAGGACCACTTCCAGAGTGCGAACAAGCGTCCAGCCATCACCACCAGCTCCCAGGAAGCTGGAGGAAGAGCACCCATGGTTCCCCGGCCTCTCACTGACCACCCTCCCTACATCATCAGGGCCACCCACCCATTCCTGCTGGTCCCCTATCTGGGGGCCACTTTTTCAGAGCTGGACCTGAGATTGAAAATGTTCTTCTGTCTCTCTCAGAGGTTCCTGGGAGGACTTGTAGAAACAGTCATTGTGATTCCTGTGTTGGAGCTGGACTCCTTGTGTGAGTGTGTGTGTACTGAGGTAAATATACACAGACACAATAGAGGTTCTGTGTATGCACACACACGAAAGTGCCCATATATGGATATGCGCAACAGTTAGATGCATGCATACTCACGTGTGCATTTTAGCTCTAAAACCCTGCAATGGTTCAGAAGCTAGATCTATAAAAGTAAGATAGTGGCAGAAACTGACCTGCCCACCACACTGTGAGAAAGCAGAGCATCCCCACACTAAACTGTGCACTCCTCGGCGGGGAGCTTGGCTAAGGCTCTTTTCCCTGGGTCTCAGAGCAGGTAACACTTGCAGTCATGGGGCTAGAGCAGTAGTACAGCAGTAGAACATTTGCCTTGCATGCAGCTGACCCAAGTTCTATCCCTAGCATCCCATGTGATTCCCCTAGCACTGCCAGTAGTAACTCCTGAGCACAGAGCCAGAGGTAACCCCTGAGCATTGTCGGGTGTGATTGAAAAAGCCCCCCAAAACCAACAAACAAACCAAAAAACCCACCACTGCCACCCCCCCCCCAAATAACCTTGCAGCCAGTCTCCTTCTCTCCCTCTCCTGCCTCCAATATCACTGTCTCCTTCCTGGTCTCCTTCCCCCATCTCTCCCATCACCCTGCCTCTCCCCAGTTCACACTGCAGCATACACACACCTGAAGTTCAACACCATGATAAAGATCTGGGGCTCTGGGGTGCACTGTAGTAATGGATTCAGCAAATCCTCAGCACTGGTTCTCAGTGTTCAGAATAAAAGGAGATGTTCTTTCTCAACCTCTGCTGTGCGCAAATAGAGCTTAAAGAGTAGCGAGTGACATTCTGCAGTGCACACGCGGGACTCTGCTGAGCACTGTTGTCCAGGCTGGCCTGAGATTTTTCCCCAAATCCTGTCCCAACTCCAGGAGAAGCAGGACCCTGTTATGTCTGTATCCTGGGTCTGTACATCCCTGAAAGGAAATCTCATGGGTTTCTAATCTACTCTCTCAAGATACAAAATAAATCTGCCTGAGTTAACGCTGCCACCTTTCTGGAGTCTTATTTTTATTCAAACTGCTTTAACAGCTTTAGCAGCCTTGTTGGGTTTTTATGACTTGGGGGTATGTTTTTTCTTTTCCTTCTTCTTTCTTTCACAAAACATTTTAAGTGAACCCAAACAAAGAGAGGGAAAAGTGAGCCTCACAGCCCCAGTCAGTTATGCCAGATTTCAGGTTTCAAACAAGCCAATTTATAAATAAACACGCTGTGCTCGCCAATGCAGAGGAATGTGGAGTGGGCTGGGAGGGGGGCAGACAACGTGGATTGGGAGAAAAAGTGCTACGCTAGGCTGAGTCAAGCCCCTCTCTACCCGCCTGCCTCTGAGGAGCCATGGCATGTGCCCTAGGTCACCCAGCTTCTCTGAGCGTCTGCAAAATCAGGGCCTGGGCAGAACTTGTGGATCCAAAGTGGGATTATGTTCCTCTTCTGAACAAACAGCTCTCCGAGTTTTTAATCAGTTCACACAACTAGTCAGACGACAGCATTCATTTCTCACGTGAGAAAAGGGGCTCAGGGGGAGAGCGCTTGCTAGCATGTGTGAAAGCCTGGATTTGATGCCAGGACTGCAAAGGATCCCTTTCTTTCCCCTTATTCTGAGAGGGTGACCCTCTTGTACTAGCTGGCCAGGCTTCCCCCCAGTCTGATACTGAGAGTCGCGAGTTCCAGGAAATCCCCCAGAACATGCAGGGACAACTAGGAATCCCTGGGGAAATCAAGTTTAATAACTCTATGTGCTGATCCGGGGAGATAGTGCGATGGATAGGCACTTGCCTTGCACAAGTCTGATCCCGGCACCCCAAATAGTCATCTGAGGGCCTGAGCGATAGTACAGTGGGGAAAGTGTTTGCCTTGCACGCAGCCAACCTGGATTCAATCTCCAGGAATCCATATGGTCCCCTGAGCACTGCCAGGAGTAATTCCTGAGTGCAGAGTCAGGAGTAGCCCCTGAGCATCACTGGGTATAACCCAAAAAGGAAAAAAAAAAACCAAACAACAAAACCAAACAGTCATCTGAATATCTCCAGGAGTCACTCCTGAGCACTCCCAGACAAAAAAAATTTCCCTTGCTTCTAGAACAACCGTGAATCTTAGACCAGGTAGTTACTCCAAATACTGCAGTGTTAGCATCCCTGGAGTATAATCCAGACATGCCACAAGCTACGAGTAAGTAGCCAAGACAACTCAAAGCCCCAAA